AATTTTACCCTGCTGTAGTTTAAATACTTGAACTATTTCCCTTCTTTTCCCTCTATGTGAGATACTTAAATTTCTATAAGGCACTCAGAAGAATCTTGGTTTTAAGGTGTAATACATAGAAAGCTATGCTCACGTCAGGCTCTAATTCTTTTATAGTGCTATCAATACAACGTATGATAATGGGACTCTGCAGTGTGGGACCTACGAACAGCTGGAATATTGGCCAAACAACTTCGATGACTTTGCTGTGAGTCTGATCACCGATGGAATCTGTCCCTCTTCCCCTCTCTGCTTATCTCTTCCCCTCAAGTTCTGAGGCTTAGGTGTGTAATATAGCCACTCAAGTCCTGTCTTACTCGTGTTATTTAGGCAGCAGTGGTGACCCTCTGGGATGTGATGGTGGTGAACAACTGGCAGGTCTTTCTGGAAGCGTTTTCAAGATACTTAAGTCCGTAAGTAGCAGTAATGATACTGAAGAAGTCCTGTGTAAATCTAGCTTATAAAGCAACTGGACAAGTATTATACACATAGCACAGTTCCTACCATCTGTGAAGAGGAGTGCTGCTTACCTTTCTTTTGCGTCAATTCAGGTATATAGGAAATGAACTTAATACTTCATGGCTGTTCTTTGACTTGAGTAACTTTATGGTTGGTCTGGCACTTGGTGGATGCCATGAAACCGGTTGTCACGTTTAGAAGGGAGTGGAAACTTGCTTGGGAGCCATCTTGTTCCAAAAACTGATGGTGGATGCCTTAAGTGGGTTATAAACTTGCAACATGTATTGGGTGGGTGGTGCTCTCTGTAGAGTCAATCTCATATAAGTGAGATATTAGCAAATCACTGTAATTAATTTTGGGATAATTCTGTATCCCTGTGGGTGAGCAATTTTTTTTTTTGTAGAGTTAAAACCTTGAACATGTCTTTCATTTGTATGTAATTATTTTATGGGAATGTTTGAATGGACTGGCCAGTCTCTGGGTTGAGCTGTTCCAGTGATCGTTGGCTGGTTAACCCAGCATATAGTGGAGTTGTGGAATGGTCATCTACAGACTTATGTTTGTGATAAATGGTTAAACATGGTCTGGTGAAGTCTGGACAGGTTGTGAAAGAGAAATCTATTGGGATCTGCAATGAATGGAAGCTACCTCTAGCTCAAGAAATAGAATTATAGAACCATAGAATGGTTTGGGTTGGAAAGGACCTTAAGAGCATCTAGTTCCAATGCCCCTGCCATGGGCAGGGACACCACACACTAAACTATGTCGTCCAAGGCTCTGTCCAACCTGGCCTTGAACACCGCCAGGGCTGGAGCATTCACAACTTCCTTGGGCAACCTATTCCAGTGCCTCACCACCCTCACTGTGAAGAACTTCTTCCTTATATCTAATCTAAACTTCCCCTGTTTAAGTTTAAACCCATTATCTCTTGTCCTACCGCTACAGTCCCTAACGAAGAGTCTCTCCCCAACATCCTTATAGGCCCTCTCTGAACTGCAAATGGCTGGAGGTTGGGAGAGCACTTAGGGGTATTTGGCCATGGTTTTGCGCTCTTTCCTGCACTTCTGCTTTGACCACTTTCAGAGGATGCTAGCCTAGAAGGATTTTTTTTCTGTGATCCAGTACAACTTCTACTAGAGCTGCCTTTCTGTCCCTTCAGACTTCAGTTAGGTATGGGGGGAGCGAGTCCTTTGGCTAACTTAATGAAAGGCTAAGACTTTTTAGTTTTCTATTCCAGACCTCCTTTTACATTAAGAAAGCAGTAGCATTATATTTCAAGGAAAAATGTGACTTCATGGCTCTCTTTGGTTGCTTTCAGGCTGAGGTGGTTTACCGCCTACTTTACTGTATTTCAGGTGGGCAAAGATCTATTTTGTAGCCTGGTGGTTGATCTCTTCTGTCATCTGGGTTAATCTCTTCGTAGCTTTGCTTCTAGAGGTAAGGAAAAGTGTTTATTTGATATTAGATCCTAAAGACAGGTTCTAATTTGTGTAGGGACTGAACAGAACTCAGACACCT